ATGAAATATTATCAAGAAAAAGCAAGACAATAGGGATTATCATATCATCGAACCATTATCCGATAAGCGCTTATGAATAGCGGTAAATATGTAGAAACAAGAAATAACATAACATTTGGATATATAAAAAAAAAACAAATTAATAGAAGGTTAAAACAGCTACATGATGGTTTACCATTGAACTGAAGAACACACATAAACGATTAAGATAGCATAAAACACATATCGAACCCTTTTGCGATCGTAGAAGGAGCTAAGTGAAATAAGTAGATGACATTTAAGTAAATGCCGAACTTTTATTATATCCTACAACGGGACACTAAAGGACGCTAACGTAACAATAAAAAAAAGTGAATTCGGCGAACTTTCTCGAAGCCTAAAGGGCACTAAATAAGAATTTAAAGGGAGATTCGTGTATGTATTCTTACGGTTTATTCCACGAAACATCAAGATTGTAATGTAGGTCAACGTAATTTTCTCCATATATTTTAATGATCTTCAGATTCTTTGTCTCATAATGATGATACCATTTGATACGCAAGTACCATCTTAAGTTTCTAATTTTAATTAAGAACTCAAATTTCACGGAACAAGGCTATTGTTTGGTCTCAATAGCACTTACTAAATTAGACGCTGTGAGTGTTCCCCGAAGGAGCAGACAGAGGTGAGCCTATACACCCACGGTTGTCATATTATAGGACCCATTCTCATACATATATTAATGTCTAAAATAGAATATAATTACATACTTCGTTGCTGTGAATTTCCGACTTAAGTTGTGTAACCGAAAATAAGTTGTGGCTTTATCTGGTCAAAGAATGGGACTTGATAGGAAAGTCTACAATTAGTTTCACTGGTCAGCACCAATGGCACATCGGTTAGAATAATCATAAACATATTTTTTTTATTCAAGCACAAAAAATTGAAAAGTAATTATTAAAATCCAAACAGTATTAAAACTTTGCTTTAAACGTTCTTTTGAACATTAAACTGTATTTAATAAACATTAGTTACAATGTTTATTTAAACAACCGTGAAACAGATATCAGACGACGTATTTCCTTGTAATTTCATTAATTTGTTACTTCATAATGACATTCAGAACGTTAAAAAGACATAAATAAGGCATAAAAATGAAGATAGCAGTATAACACAGATGTAAAAGGTCTCGATTCAAGAAATGGGACGGCGGAAATTTCCTGATAATTATTATGCCTTGTCACTAAATAATTGATTCACGCCATCAATTTTCCAAAAAAGAAAATATTCGACGTGAAATATTTTCGGGAAGACGCCATAATATCCATCTCATTTTTTATCTTTTGTCATGGTAAGCGGTGAATTTGTTATCTTGATATTGAATTACATATAGCTACTTGGTAGGTAAATGCTTGATATTATCCTTATTGTTTTTGTAAAAAAAAACAAATAAAAAATGTAAGAAATCATGGTACTTCCTTGGCCCAGTGCACAAAATTGTGGTCAGCTGACAAAGATTTGTTGTATTTATTTTCTGAGTGATTTCCCCAATTTTATTTCTGGCCAAATTTTAGGAACTGACACACATCAACATTTCATATACCAGCGTACTTTTCATTACAATATTGTAGATTCACGTTTAATATAATATGTATTTAGATAGGTGAAATAGTCTAGGGTCTTAGTTGACACCGCACTGGCATGAACAAATGCCATTGAAACCATTATGTAAAGCAACCGGAGATGTCTTCAGCCTTCAGCAGCTGGTCGCTTAAGCTTTTTGTCAGTATATAAAACAAAGCCTTAGCGGTCATGGTCATGATTGTTTCAGTAAATAAACAGCCATGACGCCCGTCACCCTTTATTGTTTCCTTGACTTGAATACTGAAATAGAATTTTGTCATTCCTGGAATGAAGAAAACGCAAAAGAATGCAGAATAAAATTGACAGCTGTCTTAGTTGTGTTCTGTGCTCGGGTCGGCTAAAGTAGAATTCAATTTTCCAATAATAGGTACAGTCTCAGTTTTGTGTCTGTAAAATTGAAATGTAAGTTTTCTAACCTTCTTGAGTTTGAAACTTTTACACTAACACTGTTATAGTTACCTTTTGTCACAGTTTCCTAGAAAATTTAATAAGGTTTTATTAAAGAAGAGTAAACCATAAAATAGAATTCTAAGAATTGAGCTGATATCTTTTTACCTTCAGGGATAGTTTAGAAAACTGTCAAAACCAGCTATACCAAAACGTTGCGCTTTGTTATAGATACCTATCTATTGTTAAGTTTAATAATAGTGAATATAATAATTTTTTTAAGTTCAAATTGGTTTTTAAGTTATATTATTTAAATGAACATTTATACATAAAAAAAATTTTAGCACATCGGTTGACACCGCGATCGCAAGAATGTGTCATTATTTTGTAAGTAATAATTAATGTTCGAATTTAGAAAAAGAACGCAAAGTATTTCTATCCTTGTCATTTCGAGCGTGACGTCATTGTCATTTGTCGAGCAAAAAAGTATTCAATTTAAGACTATTTTTATAGTTTTAGGAACCATAAAAACATTAATAACCGGTTGTAGGAAGACATTAATTATGTCGACAAACCTATCGTATTCCAGTATCCTCATAAATCTTGAAATAAAATGTTAGCGGTCAGTCCACTCATGCCTCAGAACTACGTGACGATCATAACCTAACATCTCCTGAACCTCTGACCTTAATTTTCAAGATTTATGCAAAGGTTTTATGATCTATAGAGAGAAAAATGCATCAATAAAAAAATACACATTCATAGCATCATACATCATCACATGTATAAAAAATAATATCTTTTGCCAGCATCACTCATGACGTCAGGATCAAAAGATGTCTATGTGTCAGTCAAAATTTTACATCAAAAAAGGTTCAATTAGTTTTAAACCACATCGAAGCTGTGGCTGACTAGGTTTTTCCAGAAAGGAAAAGGACATGTAATTATTTAGTAGAAGAGAAGACCATTTTTAACTTAAATAAATGGAAATTCCAGTTTTCGGTTTTCACAAAAGCGATTATTGTGATCTAAGTCTTTTTTACGGATTAAAATGTTTTACGTAATAGTAAACGAGCAAAATGGATTACCTGATGGTACACAATCGGCATCACTCATGGACACCTGGAACACCAGAGGCGTTTTTGTTTAATGTATTCAACTCCTGATAGCAGATAATCTTCATAATTAATTAGCCATTAATTTGTTCAAAATATTTGCAAAGACAGAAATACCTATCTCAAAGGACTGTGAGGAATATTGACCTTTCGATAAAATTCAATAGAATTATCATCAAATTCTGAATAGGAACAGATTTGGTTCCTGGTTACCCTTTTGCGTGGGTACGAAACGCCCTATCCATCAAAATTAGTGTTGTTTAAGGTTGGTTGGTACTAAAATAACCTTTTCTCATAGTTATATAAATTACTAGCCTTTTTAAGGGACCACCATCTTCCCAAAACTCAAATATAATTTCCACCTAAATGTAGTCAGATAAAGTTAAAATGAACGTTGGCAGAAATTGTAACTCAACAAAAGTGTTAAGAAAAAAGAATACAATTATTTTTGTCTCAAATACGACGACTAATAATAGATATATTTTAGATACAGAGAGGCTTCAGGCTCTTGTTTACACTTAGAAACTAAAATCAAGATTGAACTAGATTATAATTAGCCTCTAATCTTTTTTTAAATATGACTTACTAAAAATAGCACGAAAAACGTTCTTTCTTTGCTAAAGCATTATTTATTTTAAACTCAAACATAGAATTTAAAAAAGTATACAAGTGAATATGGATTTTCTTACACAGATAATATTAATAGTTTTGGCGATAAGGTTCCCATTTCGAGGCTTAGTTGAAAGACATTGATTCCATTGAAACTTTTGTACAAAGTACAATTTTACTACAGTTATGATAGAAACTACATAGGTATTTTAGTAAGGCAATTCCATATTGAAATATTGGGGGCTCTTTTCTCATAAATATAGTAAAGTAAGAAGCCAGAAAAACATTAGCACATGTTTTTGATCGTGAATTGTTCGAGATACGTAGATAATACTGACCTTTATTCGAGTCATTAGACAGTTGTTCATGTCTGAACATAAGATGTACAAACAAGGTTGTTATCACCTGGCCGTATCTCTAGCTTGCCGTCAGTAAATATGTATTGTAGGATTTTATTGTTGAAATTCCTACCTGCTTTATATTATTCACGACATAAATATCTCTTTGATGCAATGATCCTAAGTTAACAATTTCTTCAAACATTTCATTGAGTATTCTGTTTTTCTGCGCAGTAAACTGATATAGTTGTATTTGCATTTTTTGATATGATTTGTTATTTAGTTTTCTTTTACTTGTGCACCTACAGAGTAGAAGGTATCGACATTCGATCCTTAGTAGAACCAACTGTACGTTTCGTATTTCGTTTTTGTTTTCGAAGTTCTTGCTGCCAAATCATTTTCTTAAGTTGTAAAATGTTATGCAAAACACTACGTCATGTTATACATGTGCCGTCGCAACGAATGTTTATCTCGAAACCTCAGGAACCATAAACCGAGAAAATGAAGAAAAAATGCCAACCCTGTTTCTAACACGTAGACAAGGTCTAATAAAAGTAATACCCGAAACTTCAGTCCTAAGAGAGTCATATGTCGAGGTAAAAGTTTATGGAAACAAAAATGAAAGTTTAAGTCGCAAGTAACAACCCTGCTGTAGGATATAAAAAGGAAATCCCAAGCAGTGATTTAAAGCAGCAATATGAGGGACCGATGTGATGTGATAAAGTCCGTTCAGTACATCATCTTTGAGCTCGTGATAGTGATTGATCCACGTCGAACTGAGAGCTTATTGCGAACAAAAATACCTTATCCTGTGTCCATCCATGTTTTATTAAAACGTGGTGGTTACTAAAGCATGACCATCATCACTCACTTTCAGCTTCAGACAGCGAAAACGCATTAATCTTGAGAGATAAAATCAATTGTCTCCATGGTACAAAAGCGGAACAGATTTTTAAGGTAAAGCTTGTTATGCGTACATAGTCATGATGACCCATATATCCTAACATGGGCAGCTATTGAGAGGTTCCAATCTCTCTTGTTCAATATGCGCTTAACGTTCTGTTACGGAATGCTTTTGTAGATGGTCTTAATCTTATCCTCTCTTGCCTTAGCGATGTGAACCTTTCGCGTTACTCGTTAACTCGTAAGTGAACATGCTTCAATATTACTCACGCGTTGAAACCTAGACTTAAATTGTTTTAATATTGTATGAGGGCGTTATTGAGAACAGACAGTGTTCATAACTTTGTTGATACATCCTTCATTTTCAATAGTTGGTATAGTAAATAAGTTGTTGATATTGATATTTGTTACCAAAATTAAGATACTTTTTCATTTATTTTGCAAGATTAAAAACAAACATTGTTAAAGCATTTGTTTAAAGAACATATATCCAATTTGACTAGACGTTTCCGCCCTAGACTCCTGAGGGTACATGATGTTCATCAAACCTCATAAATTGGATTATGTCAAGGAAGGAGGCTATTCATTAAGGCCAGTAGTCGAACGTCTGTGGTATCGGAACGCTAAGCTAGCTAGACATTGTATCTACTTTATTAGCACTTTGAAAATTGTATCAATTCTGACATTTAACATAGAGCAAAAGACAATTGGTTCTTTCAATTCTTAGTATCTTAATACACTCCATTGTTATGCATATCGTAGGAAGTAGATACAATATGAACTCGGCAGAATAAGACAACCGGCAACACAGATAAGACATTAAAATTATCTAACGAATCTTTGCAAGTTAACGTCGACTCCTTGTATGTTTTCCCTATGCCCGGGATTTTGTAGAAAATGAAAACGTGCAAAAAAGTAAAACTATAGACATAAGAAACACAAACTTTTACATGGCTAGACACATTCTTATACATTATATATTGAGTTAAATGTTTTATAGCTCCCGATGGATAAATGACAGGTATATTTACTTTAAAACTTTTCGACGACCCTTTACAGCATCGAACTATTGTTAGTAAACCTAGTTACAATATTTACCTCTAAATACCGCAGTCATATATCCTAAGTTACTATTGATTCGTATGCTTTAATGTCTAAATTGTTAAATTGATTTTTGTTATTATATTTGTAAAAACCAAGATTTGAAGAGATATATCCAGGATTTCATAAAAAAGTACCTAGTTAGCTACAATTTTTGACTGCACTTTTAAGGCATATTCATCGGATGATGGTTTTGCGAAAAGCAACAAAAAGAAACCGCTGAGTCTATGTATACATTTGCACAATCCCTCAAAATAAGAACACTTTATTGTTAGTTACTGTCTGAATACAAAGCCTTTTGGTTTCTCGTTAGTGTTAATTAATTGTCACAGTTCGTAATATGATATTATTACGAACGTAATATGATATTACGAACTGGGTGTGTCTTTAGAATTGCAACAATGATTGAAACCTGTTCTACCAAGTCGCTCATTAATAGAACGGTGTTGTCATTTCAATTTAATTAGTGCAACCGTTTTAATATTACGTCGTTTGTAACATCGTGCCGATTTTGAAATTCGCATGAGCAAATTATGTGACGTTCCCACCGTGTCGTTTGTTGTATAATGCAACTCATTAGTATAAGCCCCTATACATGGCTTGAAACTGGTCGAGTTACCTTGTCAAATAATAACGTGATGATGTAAGCTAGTCTTAAAATATATTTAATTGTATTTATTTTGTTACAGTACAACGAATTCCTCACAAGATGACGATGCGGACTGGGCAAGGAATAGTTCCATTGATGAGTTCATTGTTCACAATGGAACCAATGACACAATTGGTATGTACAACCTATAAATATTTTATAAGACGAGAATTAAGGATCGTATTAGAGAACTTATGAATGTTATTAAATCCAGCTATGTTGCAAGTCGTTGCAAGAATGACTGTTGATGCGGTTTTGGGTTTGGTTCTCAGATTCTTTATAATTTTCAAATAGACCAAGAAAAACCTTTGAAAATTAAGGATGAGTGTAAGTTTCCCAGTTTGGGAATTATTGGTTTTAGCTTGCCATCTGAGAAATTTCCTGAGTTATCAAGTTGCAGTCTGAAAATATTCAGTGTTTATATACTGTCCGCACTATTCTTACCCTCCAAATAATAGCTAAGATTTCACATTCAGATAACACTAATGAAAGTCAATGCCATTTAAAAAACTATTGAGGATAAGAGCACATACCTACGTGTCGTAGGTAATAGTTTTTTCTCGTTCATCGCAGCTATAAATTACGTCGACGCCGGAGATAAATCAGGCGCAAACCGTCCCATATTGACTGCCGATTGAATCTCTACTTATTTCGTAACGGATGGATGATACTGTGTTATCGATGTGCCCATTCCTTTCAATAGTCACTGACTGAGAGGTCAGTTTAGAGAATAAATTCCGACAAGTGCCCTTTATAATGTCGTATATTAAATTCCTATCAAATACCACTCCAGGAATCTCTCTTATTTATTATTGTAGCCTAAACTTTATCAGTTAATGAAATACATTTCGTTGGTCTTTCCAAACATTTAACGATTCTTCTAGTAAAGTACCTAGGAAATTTAATTCAATTATAAATTATGCTATAATTATCTGATTCAATATCAGCTTTGATGTTACTAGACATCAAAGAACAAATAAATTTAAACATTCCTACGATCTCTATTTACTATCTTTCTAAGAAAATTAAAAGGGGCTTGGATGTTTTCAAAGTGGCTATTAAGTAGGTATTCATAGAACCTGCTAAAATCTATGTCTCAAACTATCAATGTCTGAATAATTTAGTTCTGTATAATAACTAAGTAAGAATCTACTATCTATCCCTATGATGGCCCCTTACCGTACTATTTGGTTGGATTCTAATACTTGTTTCTCTTATTTCAGAAACATTGTACGATGTGCCTACCGGTATGATAGTGCTGCTCTCGTTTCTGTACGGCTCGATATCGGTACTGGCAGTGGTGGGCAACTTCCTAGTGATGTGGGTCGTTGCCACTTCGAGAAGAATGCAGAGCGTCACAAACTGCTACATTGCAAATCTAGCTTTAGCTGACATAGTCATAGGATTATTCGCTGTACCATTTCAAGTAAGTATGTTTGTTTTATCACTTTTATACATAAACATTGGTATAGATATAAACACCGAGCTACATGGTGTTGGTTTCTTAACTGCTTACTTGTCTAGGTATACGACAACTCATTTATCCCATAGAAAATACGATGGAATTTGAAATACGAAGTCGACCGACTCCAGACAAGTTGGCGAACTGGATATCATGATATTTCTTTATGTAAGCTTCTAACGTATTTAGACCGACCGGAATTCCTAAAGACTTGGCAGACACGTTTGTATACTATTTGTAAACCTAACAAAAATGCATAATAAGATTCACACGAATATGCAAAAATATTTGCTCTACGCTCTTAGGTTAATGCAGCGTCGACACATGTAGCCACAACTCGTGACTGGTCGCTAATTTGTATGATACTCCTAGCAAATATGGCGATAGAAAATGGTTATAGTAAATATGTGATTTCTACTTACTGCTTATCAGATTAAGTACATATACACAATAGGAAATAAGTCTTTGTTTATGAGACCGATGTTTTAAGTATGAACAAAGTATAATGCGTAGTACGTCATGAGGCTCTAAGATTTTATTGTTTGACTGTAGGTAAACCATATGAAGAGAGTACTGTGTAGATTTTATATATCCCTTCAAGAAATACTTAATGCTTGATTCTATTGTGAGAAAATCTTTAGAATCAATTTTATTATTCTCTTCGAATATTGTCAAAAAGATTATTATTTAATTAATCGTAAAACATGTCTTTGAAGTAGAATTTGCTTTAACGAATCTGTCGGTTCTTTGAAACATGTTATTTGAATTAATTAAAACAATGGGTGTTGACCACAGTACACATAAACTGCGGTCTTCCACCAGCCACGCTTTGAAATTGAATAATACTTCCGTGAAATCGTAAAATAAAACCACTTCTAAGAATTCCTATGTATATTGTTGTAAGGACATATTGTTTAAGCAATTATTTTTTTAAATTAGAACTTTCATAAAAAATGAAAAGCAGTTTTTATGTAGATTGCTTGAGTACCTACATAGGATTAGTATGTATTAAATTTTTTATTAAGATTGAGCTTTTTAACGTTTAGTATTTTCATACTAAACGTAATTATTATTAGGCACTAAAATTTCAAATTAGGTTAGGAAAAATAGCTGAACTATATGAATCTGTAATAATGTAATGGGTCTGTAATAAAGTAAAATATGTGGTTTTTTTATTGTATTAAAAATATTACTCAGACTATGTACATACTATGTATATACAATGTTTATTTTCATTAAAAATGGTATGTACAAAGATAATTAAGTAACCATTGTTCAGTATATAGATACAAAATTTCCAGCATTATTCCATTGACGCAGGCAGTTTCACAATCTCACCGCTTCTGTGTACACACATACATGAAAGTACACGATAAAACAATTTAATACTTAGCGACAAAAAGATAAACTCTGAATTAACAGATCTGTTAACTTTGTTTTGTTACCAACGTTGGCGTCGCCTGACTTTTTTCCTACAACAAAGTTAAAGTCGAATTTAAATGTATAAAACTTTTACTGTAAGCCGACTATGTTTTGTATGTATCATAAGTGTTAAGTTCATGTACTTACTTACGGTCTATACGACCACCTTTTGATTTATAGTCACAAAACCCTTACATTGTCTTCAAATATTTCGGTTATATAGAAAAATGCTTTTGAAAGAAAATTTCCAATACAATGAATTTGGTTCCTGTCAAACATTTTTATGGATAAAAAGTGATGCTTTGTCTGAATATATTTAACCCGAGTCTTCCATTGTCCATTAAGCCAAAGTCATTAAATCCTATATTGAATGGGAAGGCAGATTGATTAATTGTACACAAATGTTCCACAAACCTTTATAGGCAATTATTCATTGGATTGAAATGAAAAGTATTGTGGAGGGAAAATGTTCAGAACGTTCATCATGACGAATTTTCGATTGCCCCTTCCATGTTTACATTATAATGGAAAAATGATTGCTATAAAATTGTTAAATCAGGGTTTTAGACTTTAATGGTACCTATATGTAATTGTGTATCCATGCTACTTCTATCTTTTTTTATATTTAATTGGCCGACGTTTGACCACTATCCCGCCTGGTTGTGAGTCATGATGCGTTCTACGATGGAGCATATCGTCCCATAAGCAACCTATTCACTCAGGCTTTGAAGACACTCAGCGTATACACAGACTCTGGCAAAGAATTCTTTAGCAGATAATAATTTTAATGATAATAATTTTTGTAGATGATACTCGAATATAGGCATTAGGCATTACCTAGGTATACAGTGCTGCTTTTAAGCCTACATTCACCGAAAAAAAAGAAATATAGCTCTTAGATAAAAAAAATAAAATTTTAAGTAATCGTGCTTCTTGAGCAACGAAGTAGAATATAATGTCTACAAATAGAATTTGTTTATATAATCCCTGGCCGAGTCTGTACGCAAAATTCTATTGTAATGCTAGTATCAAAGAACTTATCTTTTAAGAACACATTCTGGCGTGAAAAATACTCGAAAAGGCGACCGTTTATTTTGACTTTTTTCTACGTCAAATAATATAGGAATAGATTTGAATTGATATTTTTATCAGAGCTCTATTTTTCCACACATCTAGGTCTGAGGTAGACGTATAATGTTTCAAAGATGGTTTTTTATTCGGTATATTGATATTCGTCGTACCTATTGTAGAAAAGGAAGAATTTTTGATCTATTCGAATCGATCCTGGATTATATAAATTGGCGATAAACTAAATCCTAGATTGATTTCTCATGGTTGTATGCACGGCTTCGTTTCACAAATACGTATTTGATTTTTTTATAGTATTGACGGTATTTTTACTACAATATATTTCAGATCAACACTAGTTTTTGTTTGGAAATATTCACGATGCATTTTCCTTCTAAAATTATTTAGCTGCAGGCACGGAGTTTCATGTGATTCTTCGTATTTAACTTGGTGTTTGCGCAAAGTTCCAAGCTCAGATTTCAGTCAGTTGGGTCAGTTTTTAACCGACTTCAAAGAAATAGGTTCTCAGTTTGACGATTATATGTATTTACGTGCGAGATTGGCTGAACCGGTTTTGATGCGGTTGCTGTTAGGAGAATGTTTTAGCATATTGATTAATCGACTTTAAAAAAGAGGGAGCTGTACAGTTTAGTACTCAAAAATTAGGGGAAAAAGGGCACAACACCTAAACTATCGTATTGAGCCATTGTACAACGAAAACAAGGTTTCTCTATTATCCTGAACCTAGTCACTTTACAAAGCCCTTTGTAGTTGAGTACTTTACCTACTTAGGAATGTCATTAGAGTAGTTTAGCTTAACAGAACATAAAAGGCGGCCTCCTTTTCTACGACACGACGTACAACCGCGTTTGATGTGCCAAGTCTCACGCACACAATGAGCTTAGGTACTCATTTAGGTAACATTTAATACTAAAATACTTTCCTGGTTGTTTGTAACTTGTCTAGTACTCTGCCAACCATATCAATCTTGGTTTTGACCCTCGGTTTAGCCAAAAGTTTGTAAAATGTCAGCACTGTCGTCCCACACGCTACGGGACTCTTTGTTAATTAATGAATTTTTACTCACCCACTCAATGTAATCATTATATTACAATAGGCCACCACATCGTCCTACTCCAATGTGTCAATTTTTATCATTAGATTTTCGAGTTTATAACTAAACTTTAGAGTTGAAAATGTACTACGGAAAATTGGACAAAAAAGAGTAGGTTCACCTGCTACCTACTGTACCACAAAAAAAAAAACGAAATTAAAGTGACGAAGTAGTTTTATTCCCGTAAGCTCATTTAAGTATTAGGGCTAGTAATGTAATAAAGATCGTAAAATGTTGGTGAATTGTAGCAATAAACACATATTGCGACTTTACCTGCTACTCTGAAGATAGACAAACCTTCCAAGCAAAGTGTTCATTAGTTAATTTTCACAACTTCAATGAAGTTCCGAGATATAAATAATTATCTAGTAACTTTCTAGGAAAGCAAACAGCGTAGAAGTGTTCTCTAATAAAGTGTTTTTAATAAAAAGTTTCAGTACCAACAAAAAGGAATTAATGAACTTAAAAATACTTTTCCTTCCGGAAAAACTTTGCACAAAGTTCAACAACGGTTCAAAAATATTTATAAACGAACTATCTTTTACCGAAGACTTCACTTGAAATAACATAATATTTGGCCCATTTATTATATTAAACATATATATCATCAAGATGTGAAGAGAGTAAAAATAAGATCATGATCTTATAGTTTCCACCAGTTATCTATATAGTTCTAATTTTTAACTGTGGAAAAGTTGCGATTCAAACACCATACTTTACCACTTTAATTTAAACCTATAATTCAGTTTCAGTCACATTTATTAAATAAAGATGCTCGCGCCTGTCAGAACGCGATAACTTAAAAAAAGCTGTTTAATGGTTTTACATACGGCTGCTAACCATAGAAAGAAAATTCAGAAGGAATATGAGTTAAAATTTAAATATTTGTTTATACAACGACTCATGTCGTGGATTATAATTATCATTTTTCATCACATGAAGTACTTCATTTGTTACAATACAAGAATATGGAACTTTATCATATAAGAAATAGAATACAATATGAGACAACGCACTGAATGCGCATTTTTTATTAAAATGAAAGCGTAAAGGTGAATTTGTGATATGATCTTCCTAACACTAATTTATATCATATCTCACCTTTGTACTTTCACACAGAGGATTTCTGAAAATATTTAACGTAAAAAAAGTCTTGTTGAATAAAATCTTACCCTTGAAACTCGTTTCTATTCAGTATGTCACCGCTCGTAGATAACATTTAAGAAAACGCTAAATTTTGTGTGTAAAGCTTTGAGTATACTGAGACGGTCGGTAATGTAAAATGTGTGCGAAAATGAGTACAAAACGGAGATGCATGATGAACGCCTTTTGATGTACTCGCGTAGTTTATCTGGACCAT